AATCTTTATAGACTAGACTTGACTACTAGTGTATCGACTGCTTATCGACTGGCATTGCCCTCATGCCTGCACCCAAACGCAGCATATTTACGCATACATACATGTACATGCCCAAATCTTCACCCGCCCAAATAGGAACGCTATATGAACACCTTGTACAATCATGTACTTCGACGTACACGTACATGTACATGTACGTGTACTGTTGGTTTGACAGCATATCACAAGGTGGAGGACACCGTGTTCGGAAACAGTGACCTTTCTGCAACCATCCACGGTTGGTAGAGCCCCGGTCTTACGACCATCTGAGGGTGGCTGTCAAACCGGTTCTGGCCCTCTGAATTCTAAGGAGTTATCTTAGACTTCTTGTGGTTGTACCGTCAGTCGTGTATTCCTTGTTCGCTCCTGGACCTGGTTGTTTTCTTGATACTCGGTCTCAGTCCTCATAAACTTTGTAGCTTTTGTTCTGAGTTGTTCTTCTTTTTCTCTTTTATACTCTTTTTTCTTTCCTTTTCCAACTTCTGCCCATGGCGTCCCTCTCCCAGCTCGTCAGCTGACAACAGTCACTGTCTCCACCATGACAATGTCGTGAGAAGGTGCTCTCTGTAGATGAGGTTGGTGATGTCCCGATGCGGCCATGGGCAGGCCTTCACCAGGCCTTCACCACGTCGGCTACACTTTGGCTGTCCGTCTTTGTGGTCCACTTTCACGACAATAACACACACAGAAGTCTCTGCTGTGAGCACGGTGGCTCGGCAATGGCTGTATTTATTGGTATCACATCCTCTTTCTGATTTTTTTGAATAATGTTATGCATAGAGATAAGAAAAAATAGACACAAGATACTGTTGCTAGTCGCACAGCAAAACACACAGAAAACAAGACGTTACAATGAATGTAACAACACCCGTGCAAGCTAAAGGACCTACATCCCTGCCCCAGGACGGTATCTTGAAAACCCACACACACTCACCACACGGTCATCATCCAACTTCAGTTCAATCACTGTATTCTTCCCGTGCAGATTCAGGCACCTCTTCCCGGAAAGCATCCAACGGTAGGTTATGGAATGTGCCGAACAAATGTAATTTTTTTTCTACAAAATCCACATATCTCCAATGATCGGAATCTGCTAGTATCGTTCTTCCAGTTACCCGATCTTGGAGGCCGAGCTGCGAGGTACCAGAGGCAAACTACGCCATAGACATTCGCATAGTATATTAGCGAAGGTATGGTGTGCCACAGGGGTCAATCCTTGGGCCACTATTCATTTTACTTGACGTCAATGATCTACCGATGTTGGTCCCTAATGTTTCACTGTTCGCGGATGACACCACAGTTTCCGCTTCAAGTATTGCAGGCAATTGCTAATTGATGACCTCCAGCAAAAGATCAACTCCACCATTTCCTGGATGTCGACTTGGAAGCTGAGACCGAACACTAGTAAGACCAAAGTGATGTTCTTTTGTAATGGTGCCAGTGATCAGTTCTATAATGTGTCTTTATCATGTCCTGGCAGCTCATCTACCATAGAAATTGTCCATGAACATAAGCACCTTGGTAAAATTATTGACGACTGTCTAACACGGGCTCCCCATGTAGACTAAATTTGCAAGACAACTTGGAGTGTTCTCGGCATACTATATCCTCATCGTTCTCATCTGCCAAATATATGCCGTTCTATGTTTTATCGCTCGTATCTATTACCTATTTTCCAGTATGCATGTCAGTCTTGGTGTAGTCTAAGTCGCCATCTTGTGAACAAACTTGAAATCCAACATAAATCTCTTCTTAAAATATTAAAAAGCAGTGTTTATTTCCTTGTCTTGACCTCTATTGTATCAGCAATACTCAGCCACTGCAAGATAATAGCAAACAGCAGCTTTGCATTTTGATCCACAGAATTCGCCTAGGTAAATTTCCCATCCATCTCTCCGTATTCAATTGTTTTACTGTCTCGGTCCACTCGTAATAGTCTCTCACTTCCTCGTGCTAATTCAGCCGCACTTACCAACTCTCCTCTGTTTTTGTCCTACACCTTTTGGCTGCAACTTCCTCAGAAAGTCAAGATATCAAAAAGTCTTTCCAGCTTTAAAAATGCTCTCCGATCGCATAATGTAGTACAATAGGATTTCTCCTTCCTGGCTGCTTGTCTGTCCTTCTTTCTTCTCTTTTTCTTTTCTTTTCTTTCCGTGGTTGGCAATTACCCCTCTCCCACACTTTGCGTGCCAATTGGTCATGGCCCACGAGTTGAGTGAAATAAATAGACAAATAAATAAAATCCCTTCGTCTTCGTCCGACTGGTTGAGAGTTAGTAGTAGTAGTAGTAGTAGTAGTAGTAGTAGTAGTAGTAGTAGTAGTAGTAGTAGTAGTAGTAGTAGTAGTAGTAGTAGTAGTGATAGTCACATCCTTTATTGCTGAACCCACAAATAATTGTGATACAAATTGTAAACCATCCGAGGAAGAAGAGAAAGCCATTCAAAATAAAAAATAAAAAAACCAAAAAGGTTATTGTACCATGCCAAACGGCTATTGTTAAGTCATGTACCAATTGTAATACATGACGTAGTATAGTAGTCAAGCACCTACAAAATACTTTGCAGGATAATATTTAAGTTGCCTAGCATGCCTACAAATCCGCAGAGCATGCCAATGTTAAATAGGCCAACATATGAATACCGAAGGCGGTTACATGGACAGAAGGCGACATTGGTCGAGAAAAGATGGGCCTATTCTCTTCCTCAAGTAAGACGCTCTGCAACCACGGAGGCACGTGATTGACCACCTCAGCAAAACAAATGCAATTTTGCAGCGTAGCTGTGCCATCACAACAGCGTACTGGAGGTCACTATGCTTGTTAACCACCAGCTGAACAATGTTCTTCAATGCACGAGAGCACTCCGTGCCACATACGCCGTTTGTCGAAAATACGAGCGGAGTGAATGACCCCTCTCGACATCGACAACACGCTGAAGATAGGCCCGCTTCTTCTGATGTTCATTCCGGGAAATCTGTGCAAGGACTTCCTGTCGCGACAGCAAAGACGCCCAGGGGTGAGTAACCCTCACATCAAAGAATGCATCTTGCTGTGGCGACCAAAAGCCCCTTGCACGGATATCCAATCGAGCCTCTGCAGCACGATTAGCGGTAGCGCCGTGAAGTTGTTCACCATCCAACGGCAAAAGCGGTGGCTCTGTTTGAACATCCGGGATGGCAGAAGTCATCACCTCCACCAGCACATCACGAAGCAGTAGTAGTAGTAGTAGTAGTAGTAGTAGTAGTAGTAGTAGTAGTAGTAGTAGTAGTAGTAGTAGTAGTAGTAGTAGTAGTAGTAGTTCGGGTTCTTTCAAATAAAGATTTTGACTAGTAGTAGTAGTAGTAGTAGTAGTAGTAGTAGTAGTAGTAGTAGTAGTAGTAGTAGTAGTAGTAGTAGTAGTAGTAGTAGTAGTAGTAGTAGTAGTAGTAGTAGTAGTAGTAGTAGTAGTAGTAGTAGTAGTAGTAGTAGTAGTAGTCATCTTTCTTTTTAGAGTAGAGAGTCACTATTTACACGTGTTGGTACCTCTCTTGTTTAGATCGTGAAGAGGACAGGTCCCAACTCCGATCCTTGTGGAACTCCTCTTGTGCATGCGACGTCACGGGAGTAGCGGTCTAAACAGTTTGGCGATATTCAACCTGTTGGTATTGGTCGGACAGATAGCTTGCAAACCAGGACAAGGCTGTGCCTCCGATGCCGCATTGTAAAAGATCATCCTGGAGGGTGTCATGGCGGATTGGATCGAAAGCTTTGCTCATGTCTAAAAATAGCATACCGACCACGTTCCGCTCTTCCAAGCTCCATTGCCATCAGTTGGCGCAGCTTAGCGCATCTTCGGTTGAATGGTGGGACCTATAAGCAAATCGCTGGAGAGGCAGAATGTTGAGGTCGGGGTTGTCTTCGATGTACTTTCTCAGCTGTTTCAGAACGATCTTTTCGAGGAGCTTTGAGACTATCGGAAGAAGGGGTCTGTAGTTGCTGGCATGACAGGGATCTCTGGCCTTGAGCAGTGGCGGCAGTGAGTGAGAGAGTCGTCTTGTAGAGATTTTTTTTTTTTTTTACTATGTTCACATTCCCAGCTCGAAAATAATAAAGAAAGACAATGATACTGAGACTAGGACGAACGTGACAACTATTGAGCAGGGGCTGCACCGAGACGCAGCAGTGATGGTGGGGCATTGATGGCTCTGCCGACCTGAGGTCTCGGCATCACGGCCAAAAACACGCACCAAAAACAAACGATAGAGCTGTACGAGTCAGCAAAATGAAAAGAAAGGAAGGGTTAACACCAGCGAGTGTGCGGGAGAAACTGTGAGACTATTAACAAATTACAGGCGCTGTTACTGAGAGGAGCATCATCATGGCTGATCATGGCGAGTCGGTTGTCTGAGCCAGTTGTGGTGCATAGATAGGGGTAGAGGAGAACGACGAGAGCATCATCATAGCGAGTCGACTGCCCAGAGCCAGTTTGTGCTTCGCAGATGGCGATAAACATTAGTTTTGAATACTTGTATTCCCTTGCTGTGGGGAGGCTGGGACAGAAGAGCGGCGGGGAGGGAGTTCCAGTCACTAATACTGCAGTGTGGGAACGAGCGCTTTAATGCCAGCGGGACAGATGCAAGCAGCTGGTGTTGGAGCTGGTGGTCATGGCCAATGACGCTGCCATGCTCGCTGCGAGTTCTGGGGCTGGATGAGGGGAAATGGCGCAGTGGCAAAACAGAGAGTAGCTGCGGAGGGCCAGGCAGGTGATGCAGCTTGGCAGGCAAGCGAGGCAACAGTACGACTAGAGTGCGACATGATGACTGCGCGTTTCACAGTGAGTACGAGCCGTACTTTGGACAATGTGTCAATCGCACGTCAATGGCTGCGCGCGTGACAGGAGGGCAACATCTCATGATCTTACGTCATTACAATGCCAGACTGCAGGTTACAGTATAGTGACAAGTACACGTTCCGTGCCAGCACTTCTTCTCGGAAAGCAACCAGCGGTAGGTAGAACAGTAAACGCTTTGGAATGTGTTGAACAAATGTATCGATCGGAATCTGCTAGTATCGTTCAGTTGCCCGGTCTTGGAGACCGAGCTGCGAGGTACCAGAGGCAAACCACGCTATAGACATTCGCATAGTATATTAGCGAAGGTCTGAGTGGTCGGGTCAGAAAGCCGTTGATTCTACTGCTGTTCATTTAATGGATTGTTAGCATAGTGATTTCTCTGCCCATCAGGCTCCTCCGGGAGGAGGCCACTGTGCGCCGATGCTAGTTCGAGACGATCTCGGACACCCCATCAGCGTTGAACCTCCAGTCAACAGGTTTCTTCCAGAATAACGTAAGTCGCTGTCAATTGCTGTCTCATTACGATTGCATACCGCATTGCTCGGTTTCAATACACAGGCACTCTTTGATACACTGATGGATGAGCCAGGCCGGAATTTTGGTGTTGGGGGGGGGGGGGGGGGGGTGGTCGTTGGGCGGTTCAATAGCCAGCTTTCCAAGGTTCCTTTTGAGTCGCTCTCCCCTCTTCGGGGGAGACCCGCGTGACCAGTCATGGCAATGAGCAAGAGACGGATGTTGTTCGCAACAGTTAGACCATTGAATACAAGTATGTGTTGAGACTGGGAAAATTGTAAATGCTGCTTTAGACTGACGGTGTGCAAGCTCACAAAAGTTTAGATGTGTACTGTGACAGTACCCTCTTCACTCAGTAGAGACAGAGTCGAGCGAGCTGTATTCCCGGTGCCGAGAGGCGGGCTCACCACCCCTGTATGGCAACTGCCAACATTTCCCTATTGTGTATAGCCTACTCCAACATTCTGCAACGGCTGCAGAATGTTGGAGTCTGCCTTGTTCGTCCAGTCCTGCCTATGAGGCTATGTGTCATGCAAGTAATTATGTCTTCTTGTACATGTACCGGTATGTCCTGAACGTTCAAACCTTTTTGCATCTGTACATGTGAAAATGGTTTACCGGTACCCATGTTTTGTAGCTTTCGACTACTCGGCGGTCAGTGTCGTGTAATGTTATCGCATGAGCGGATTGTTTAGTAACTGGTGGTGCTTAGTGGACATTTTAGCGTAACTTGTAGTTCCTTGGTCCTTTTTTCTTCTTCTATAAAGTGATAAAATATGCAGTATTTAGACACGTGTAGTATTTTGGCCAGTGAAACCGTGGGATGAGACGAAATGAGAATAAGATTATGAACTCTAGCGGGGTAAGGCGCACGCACTGCCTCTGTGATATCAAACACCCAAGATTATTAAAAGTCGATGGCTTCACAGCAGATAAGAGTGGAGAAGACGAACCTAAAGAGTGATAAAATATGCAGCATTGGGATACTTGAATCGCCAGTGAAACCGTGGGATGAGAACCAAACGAGAATATTATTATGCTGTTTTTATGCTAAAAGCTATTATTATGCCGCATTATGCTCACATATGCTGCTAATGTACATGTATGTGATGGTTCTGTTCAAAATAACAGGGGAATTTTTTGTAGAGGGCGTTGTACTGTAGTAGCAAAAGTTCAACGGGGTCAACGCACCGTCCGACCTAGCTACGACCGTCACTAATTGTAGTGGACTGGACATGTTATCAAGGGAGTCGTAAACCTACGACTTCCTGGTGCATCTGCTTGTACTTGTACTTGTAGAACATTGTACAACTGTATGGAATTTGATGCAAACAGGCGGATTATTCCAATTTATGCAATTGGTATACAATTTGCCTCGAATTACGCGATTATTCGATTTTGGTAGGAATTATGCGAAAAATTATGCTAGCATAATCCGTCAAGGCCTAAATGGCACTGGAGTTCTCTTTCATGTGAAATCGTGTCCCATAAAGTACAATGGGCTAATATTATCCTGTTACAAGTTTTTTGTTGGACTGAGCCTTCAGGTTTCAAAAACATCTGTTGTGTACATGTATGTCCTTTATGCGTCCATTTGTGTAGGCTAGCGGTGCACCTCAGCGATATCAAAGCGGACTGCATGGCCAGCTGGATTCCAGAACACGTGGACGAGGATGTAGAGGATGGCGCCCAGGACTTTCTCAAGTGCCCTGCCTGCAAGCAAGAGTATACGGAGCCACCATTGCGTTTTCCATGTCACCATGCTTGTTGCAGGCAGTGCGTCCAGCAACGTCACAGTCCCCCTGACACGCTCGAATGTCCATGCTGTAGGTCCAAGCACCCGATCGATAACCTTGCCGAGCTGGAAATCAACTCTCCGGTGAAAATGATCCAGCAAGGCAGAGACAAACTCAAGCAGGACCTTCAGAAGGAGTTTGAGTGCGATGAGTGCGAGCAGAGCAAAGGACCTCATCCGGCCGTAGGGATGTGTGTCAGGTGTGTATTGTACTTGTGCCAGGATCAAGTCGACAATCACCGCTCATCCCGACGCTACTCCAGGCATGAAATTCAGCCTGTGAAGTCGGGGATGATGCCGATGAAAGAGGAGCCAGTTTGCACGAAGCATCCCGAAGAGCGCTTGAAAGTATACTGCCCAATTCTCAGTGAAAGCATCTGCCGTGAGTGTGATATCGAAGGTCACCAAGGCTGCAGATCTGATCACCTTAAGCTCGACACGGCCGCCAAAGACAAGTCCTGGGAGATGAGTGCAGACATAGAAACCCTGAAAACGTCCACTGTCCAAGGTCTTAAAGAAGCCATTCAGCGGAATAGGGCTCTTGACACAGAGTCACAAGAGAAGAGGGAAAACACAATTGCCAAGATCACGGATGACTTTCAAGCCCTGAGAACGTACATAGACGATCGGGAAGCGGAAGTGAAGGCGGCTGTGAGGAAGGCTCAGCAAGACGAGCACCAGCGCATTCAGCATTCTCTTGAGCACCTGATAGCTGATCTGCACAACAGCCAGCAATTGAGAACAGCCACGCGGTACCTTCTTGACGCGACAAACAACACGAGCATCATGAGCGAATCCAAAGGTTTGCAGGCACAAGTGAAAGACGCCATATCCAGAGAGGAGACGAAGGAGAAATCTCGGAAGCTTCCGCACCTGATCCCGTACCTGTATCAAGCGGCAGAGGTGATCGAACAACCGTCCCACAAGTCACCCTTGTCGCAGTTCGTGTTGGTGAGAGGTCAAGATGCGACGTCTGTTCTCTGCGAGTCTCAGAATCCCCATGATCTCCAGTTGGTCTCCATGCCCACTTTGCGACGCCCGCGCAAGTAAGTAGACTGCCATCGCTCAAGAAGATGCACTGTGATTCTCAGCGGGACTCCATCCGAGTCAGCCACAGTGAAAGCTTGCAAAATTATCACTGCCAAGTGCCAACCCAAATCCTGGTTGTGTGCACCATTGTTAGTTACCATTTCGAGTCAACAATTGCATATGCTCGCATTTGTATCGCATGCCATAATACCATCATTACCCGATGTGGTTATGGATAGAAAACAAAAATTGGCGACAAAGCGTTATTCGCCCCAGTATTCTTGCAGTAAGATCTTGTGGCAAGCCCTAGGGGGTTCTTTCACATAACTCTAGCTTTGAAATACCAACATAAGAGCTTCAAGATCATTAATTTTTAAAATAACATCAACATTTGTTACTAGTAGCAGCGGTGAGGCTTCCTGCAGCTTCATTCATAGGAAGAAGTTTTCTAGAGCAGACTCGCTCTTTCCCATTGACTCTGCCGCACAATATTGAACTCGTTTATCAACCAGTTAGTACACCGTTTGTTACTTCACTTCAATGCAAGTCAAGCTGCTCTGCAAGCGCTACCACAAACATGATTGTATTTCCGAATTTCCTCGCTGAGCATTGCTTTTAGCGTAATCTGACAAACACCACCGAATAGCTTCAGAAGGCGTTATCTGCTGTTCATGCAATTAACGGATTTTAGTACGAATATCTATCACAAGGAAATTATATGAATTTCCTAATACTTTGAAATTCTCCGTGAAGTTCAAATTTGAAATTGCAATATCTATTATATATTGTTAAAAGTAGAAAGGAAAAGGACATAATTATGGAAACGAGTATTTTTAAAGACATCTTTTCAGCATCCTCATCCACAATATGCCAGTTCTAGTACTCTCCTCTGCGCTCTCTTTAGCCTACTATAGTGCTGGTCAAAGAAATCCAACCTAGCTCATGAGCAAAGTAAAGTATTAAAGTAGCGCCGCGTTACAGTGCACAGACCAATGCGTGTATGTGTAGTGCTAGGGCTGCGCAGCGCACGGCATGCAACGCTATTCTATTCATGAGGTTGGATTTCTTTGACCAGCACTGGAGCTGCTACCCTCGGTAGCCATTACTCGCATTAGGCACGACAACGAAGGGTTCCGGGTACGAGTACTGACGCTGAAATTCCTCTTGACAGCTGCTTTGTCTACAAAAGGTCTCGTCAGCGTACGGTGATACTGAACAGGGTAATCAGATGGACATGGTTGTAACCATGGTAACCCGTAATCAGAAAGTCGTAAAATATTGGTATTTGTATGACTTCCTGGTTGTTTTTTCTTTTCTTTTTTCTTCTACAAAATCCACATTATTTAGAAAAGCGATCCTGTCAGCTTTTCTATTATTGTGTTCACATGGCAAGAAAAACGACACCGCTATGCTACGTAAGTTTCTACGTAAGGTGCTCGGTATTTCACTTAGGCTACGTAAGTCTCTACGTAAGGTGCTCGGTATTAGATCTACCAACGGGTGGTAGCCGCGTGCTCTGCACGTGCACGGCAGACATTGTGTTGCAGTGCAGTCCGTGTTTGGATGTGCATGCGCGAGGAACTTTCTCCTTTGGAACTGCTTCTTGTATGAGCTGTTTCGGATATTTCGTCTCCTGGCCTGGCTTATTTCGTTTCGGCGCTGCTGAGACCTCCTTTCGCGGAATATTACTCAATGACAGGTGAGTTGACCAGTTCCCTTTGATTCATTTGCTTGTGTTAACTCTTTCATTTACGAAAAGTGTGCTGATTTTGGGCGGAATGCAATAAATAATGGAAAAGCTGACAGGAGCTCTTTTCTAAATTCAGCTTTTCCGCTGCCGAGGCCTCCTTTTACGGAATACTCGATGACAGGTGATCTCTGAGTTGACCGGTTTCCTTCGATTCATTTGCTTATGCTCACCCTTTCATTTACGGAAACGTGTGCTGATTTTATTCGGATTTAGATCCATTTTTATCTCTTTGCCCTTGTCTACAGTGTGCGAAGAACGCGAGTTCACCTTCTTGACGGTAAGGCTTATGTTAGATGTGTTGTCGAAATACTCATAATATAATTCATTGTACATTGGTACATTACAAGTAAGGCACTAGTCAGTGGCATACTATCGTTGGCAGTTCCCAATCTGGAGGGAAAGGTTCAAGGACCCATTGACCGAGTTTGCAAAATAAATTCGCATATCAGGGAAAATCTCCATTATGGAGAGGTTCAGTAAACTTGTTTGCTTCATACGAAACAAGCCAATGGGTGCAGTCTCGTCTCGTGAAGATCTCGTACTTGTATGATTGGATTTGTTTACTCGAGTCTGGGCTGTTTGATTTATTATTTGTGAGTACCACCGAGATTGCACTGCCCCAAATAAAGTTTCGTGCCACCAAAGCAAGAATTACGATCTGCAATCTGTTTGTGGTACCTACAAGAATGTGCTGTACATGTATCGTACTTTCTCTGTTGCTGTTTCAGTTGCCGTCATGTTGCTAAAGAAACGTTCAGTAGAGAGGTTCTGCAAAACGAAAATTCGAACGAAGTTTCGCGACAGTGCTTGCGAAAGTGTGTACGAATTTTTGCACGAACTTTGCGTTCTGCACATTTTCGTAGTTTGCGCGGGCCAAGTGCACGTACGCCATGACCCTATCTCACGAAAGTGTGTACGACAGTTCATTTCGCGTTCCCTGCAAGTTTCGCGTCCAAAGTTGCGAAAGTTCATGAGAAGTTTTGCACTTCATGACGTAGAACGAAAGTTTGTACGCATTTTCGTTTTGCAGAACCTCTCTAGTGACTCATTTCTTTCATACGAGACGAGTCAATGAGTTGGTGTGGCTTAGAATCTTTCGCTGTAGAAGAAATCCATCTGTACGCCTATTGGAGAAATAATTGCGTTCACTGGTTATAAAATAGGTTAAACAAACTCACAGAATAAATACCATCGGTCCCTTGGTGTTCGTCCTAAAGAGGTTAGACTGGATATCATTCATACTCACCAAAAGATGTGTAAGATTTTATTATTATGGAGTGCCTTGTTTATCTCTCAGTACCTCCAACCATAGCCTTGCCCCTTTTTTATCCTCAGGATCAGTGTAGTTGTTGGATCGAGGTGTCGGACTCAGCAATGTATTTGTTTAAATTTTAATACATATTTATTGTTCCTCCTTTGCTGTGTTGTTTTAGAAAATCGTGGACCAACAGTTTGAAGTCATTGAACTACTTCCAAATGTTGTATCGACATCAACAGGATTACGATTTCAGTGCAATATGATGCAGGATGACCTTATCACGATAACCCATGATTATAAACCATTATAAACACAGAATCAACAAAAACATATGTGGCGCGCACCTGGTTACATTTCTCAAATAAATCTGATCGAGGGTGGGGAAATCTGAAATATCTGAAAGGCAAGACAATTTTATGACAGTCATGAAATTCTGCTACAGCAACATGCACAGAATGACCTCCGTATAAAAAAAAGTATCACCACGGTCCACCACTACTCACATGTTTCCCTGCAGAAGAACATGCTAGTGCCATTTTCTGCAAGAAAAGGCTTGCACATCAATGCGTATAATACGGTATTGATATGATGTGAAGGCCATCATTTACGTATTGATATAGGACATTCCATTGATTGGTGACAGAAAAAACAAAAGAAATTATAGCAATAAAAACTGCTTTATGGCAGTTTTCTAAAAAAGGTTATTGTGTTCTAGTCCATGGACCCCGTCTAAAAAGTAAGAAATTAACGAAATGTGATAGCCGAAAATTAAAATTTCACACAAAACCTCACAATAATCACACACAGAATGAAAAGCTACATGTAGAAGACCTTTTCCCCTCGTGATCCTCTTTCCTATGCATGCATGACATGCATGTTGCCAATTGTCGGTGCAGTACAGGTTTAGTGTTGAAAGCAGCATTTCAAGTGTTGTGATTATTGTGAGGTTTTGTGTGAAATTTTAATTTTCGGCTATCACATTTCGTTAATTTCTTACTTTTTAGACGGGGTCCATGGACTAGAACACAATAACCTTTTTTAGAAAACTGCCATAAAGCAGTTTTTATTGCTATAATCTCCATTGCGTTCCCAATGCCTTCTTTATGCAGACGACACCCTCCTGTATGCCTCTGGAAAGTGTCCACTTACTTAGAAGACGATTTTTCAGTGGTTAAGCAGTACCTCACAGATCGCGGCCTGCTCCTGAACTCCAGCAAGAGCCAAGTACTACTGATCCACAGCAGACGCTCACATCCCCCACCTAACCTGAGCATTGTCTGTGGTTCGACTGTTATTGCCCCGTCTGACGAAGTTAAGTATCTAGGACTGACTCTCGATTCAACTTTAAGTTTCAGTGCCCACGTTAACTCCTTCAGGGAAGACATCGGAAAGAAACTAGGTGCTTTTCGACGTGGAAGGAGGAACTTAGCTGTCCAGGCCAGAAGGCAGTTCTACTTGTCAGTAGTCCAGAGCAAGCTCGAGTACGCCAGCACTGCCTACGTCCACTGCCTCGCTGACAATGTGAGAGATCAGCTGCTGCGCATAAGTAAGAGAGCACTTAGATGCACATTTGAGCATGACACATTCACGCGGACACCATACTTGCTTGAGCGATACCACATAATTAGCTTAGACAAAAGATATCGTACTAAGTCCATATTCTTCGTGTTCCGTTGCATCCACAATATCTGCAGTTCACTCCTCTCTGACATGTTCTCCCTTCGCCGTGACTGCGCTCACACAGACAGAGTAACCCACAGCCAATTCAATTATTCCCTTTCCTTACCCATTGTGCAAGCTCAAGCTGGATACAGATCTATTTCATTCCTTGGTGCTGACCGCTTTAATGCGCTTCCCGAATCCCTTCGCACAAATCATATCCCCAATTCATTTCGCCAGGACCTTAACAATTTCATTCATCCTGGGCACCCTGTAAGAAGACCTTAGGGTCTGTTGGGAATGCCCAAGTAAAATAATAAAATACAATACAAAAGAAATACAAATCTCCAGACATTGGGGTGAATAATAGAGCGTGGTGGTGGGGGCTCAGCCGACCAGAGGTCTCGGCTTCATAGCTCCATAGACGCACAAAAGAGGGATCGGGTAGGGAGGATTAAATTTTAAGTTGAAAAAGAAAACAGTAGAAAGAGAATGAAAGATTGTATTGCTCAGTGAGCAAAAGAATAAGTTGAGTATGTGCGTGAACACTGATAGACTTTTAAATTCAATAGGAGACTGTGTGTGAGGAGAGATTATGTCCAAGCAGGGTAGGACACTGTACCCTGTTACTCGCGTATGCTATGAGTGGCCCAGTGCCGGTTC